TTTTTTTTGGTCATGGGTCCTGAACTCTGGGCCTGGGGGCTGTCCCTCTTCAGCTCAAGGCCAGTGCTCTACCATTTGAGCCACAGCACCACTTCTTTTTTTTTTTTTTTGGTCGGCCGTGGGGCTTGAACTCTGGGCTTGGGCGCTGTCCCTATGCTCTTCAGCTTGAGGAGAGCCCTCTACCACAGCGCCACTTCCAGTTTTCTAGTGTTTTATTGGAGAGAAGAGTCTCAAGGATATTTCTGCCCAGGCTCCCACTTCCAGCTTTTTTTTCCTGGTTAATTGGAGATCAAACCATGATCTCAGCCTCCTTGAGTAGCTAGGATTAGAGGTATGAATCACTGACACCAGCCATGTATTCCCTCTAGATAAACATAAAACTCTAGCCAGGTATGGCAGATACCCATAATGCCAGCTACTCTGGAGGTGGAGGTTGGGAGGATAGTGGTTTGAGATCAGCCTAGCAAAAAGTTAGCTAACCATCCCACCTTATCTCAACAAAAACATGTGTAGGGCAGAAGGAATGGTTCAATTGGTAGAGTGCTCTTGTTTAGCAAAAGCAAACAAGGTTCTGAGTGCAAACCCCAGTACCACCAAAAACAAAAACAAAAAACTGCCACACATGGTGGCAAGTGTCTTTCACCCCAGCTACTTTAGAGACATAAACAGGTGATTATGGTCCAAGCAAAAAAAAAACACCTAGGAGCTTGGCTTAAGTGGCAAAGCACCAAGAGTGAGGTCCTGAGTTCAAATCCTGGTACAGGAAAACAAAGCAAATGCTCTCACTTTTCCTTCCTTTACTTTCCCTCCAGATTCTAATGCCCAGCCCCAGCCACAGGATTCAAAGGATTTATCTTCTCAGCAAAGTATCAGGTCAAGTTATCTAAATTAGGAGGCTTTACATTGGTAGAATCTCCAGTAACAGGTTTCTTTTCCCCCTCTGCTGCCTATATTATGAAATGAAGTAGTTCTCTTCACCTTTTCAGTGAAAATAGAAGTTAAGATTGCATGTTGTTTCGTTTTGCTTTTAGTACTCGTGAATTCCAGATTAAGTCGAGCTTCCTTGAAGCCAACTTTCTGGCTCCCCTCCCACCCCACCCCGCTCTCGGCCGTCTGCTTACCTTGTATTCCCCGTCCCCATGCAAATCTGCTAATGCTGGAAGACACAAAAGGGCCATGAATCGGTCTCAGAATCCTCTGAGTTTCACCGCAGGCTAACTTTCCACCCCCCTCGTTCTTCTAGAAGCCGGGGTTCCACACACTCACCCAGGCAGGCTGAGAAGGTGTGGATGTTGGCCAGGGGGTCGTAGTGCGCGTCCAGCCATTTCGAGTTGGTCTCGTTACTGGAAGGGGAGGGCGGGGGGGGGCAGAGTTGGGGATCGAGTCTCCCCGGGGAGGAAGAGCACGCTGAGGGAAGCGGTTCCTGACCCCGAGGAGCGCAGAGAGCCCCCGGGCTGCAGCACAGAAGGTCGGGGTCCACGCCTGGGTCCCCCCACCGTGACACAGGCAAGCACGGCTTGCACTAGCTCCAAGAGCCCTAGGAGGATTGCTAGCGCTGCCTGAAAAGCTTAGGGTCCCCGCGCCCCGGCACCAGACTCCCTCTGCACATTTGTAAGGAAGATTGTGACCCCCAGTCTTCACCTCTGAACTCGGCTGGGGTCGGAATCCGATGAAGACGGAGCAGCCATCTTCCCAGCCGTCGCCTTGGCAACCTGCCCCGCCCCCGCCGCCGCGCAACGCCCAATCCTGCGCCCCGGGGGGGGGCGATACTGTAAAAGCTCCAGCACAAAGGTTCCGGCGCGGAATCCCCAGGCGGGATGGAGGCGTTGGCGCCTGGGCTGGGCGCCGCCCGCTGAGGGGCAGCCCCTACCCCGGCTTATTTTGATTTATGGTTTCTGGGCCTTACATGCTGGGAGCAAGAGCGGGTAGTTTGCCTTCCCGGCAGTGAGAGGAGAGCCCCTGCTAGAGTTTATGAGCACCAAAAAGGCTTCAATTTCATGGTTAACCCTAGAAGGGCCAAGTCCCTTCTGGCTGCCTGACTGTAAGCTATCTTCACTGAAGAGATGCAAAACACCAGCGTGAAAGGGCGATGGAGAGGGTCCTACCCGAAGTTAACTGTTTCTAGTTATAAGCTCCTGTAAAGTTTTCCTTTTTCTATCGTGGGGCTTGAACTCTGGGCCTGAGAGCTGTCCCTCAGCTCTTCAGCTCAAGGCTACTGTTCTACCACTTGAGACAGCACCTTTTCCTGTTTTCTGGTGATTTATTAGAGATAAGAGTCTCACGGAGTTTCCTCCCTGGGCTGGCTATGAACCATGATCCTATGAACCATGGCGCTCTATCACTTGAGCCACAGCGCCACTTGCGGCTTTTTTCTTTTTGCTTATGTGGTGCTGAGGAATCGAACCCAGGGCCTCAGGCATGCAAAGCAAGCGCTCTACCACTGAGCCACCTTCCCAGCCCTGCTTATGTGTTTTCTTCCCTTCCTTTTCTTAAGATTTACACCAACACCTGCTGAGTAGCTAGGATTACAGGCGTGAGCCACCAGCACCTGGCTTCCTGTCTTTTTTTTTTTTTCTTTGAACTGGGCACTGTCCCTCAGCTCTTCAGCTCAAGGCTAGTGCTCTACCACTTGAGCCACAGCTTTTTCTGCTTATGTGGTACTGAGGAATCAAACCCAGGGCCTCATGCATACAAGGCAAGCACTCTACCACTGAGCCACCTTCCCAGCCCCATCAAGTTTTTTTAATCACGGAAAATGCCATAAAGGTGGACTACAAGCATGCTGTGACTGTGCATCCTCCTTTAGAGAGGATGTCAAGATCCTTGTGGACTAGAAGACAAAAGTGACCTCTGCCCTCTCCCCAGGTTTTGATTCCACGGTTTTCCCCAGAGTCCAGGAGGAATCAGGAGCCAGTGGCTCACACCTGTAATCCTAGCTACTCAGGAGGCTGAGATCCGAGGATCCTTAAAAAAACAAAACAAAACAAAAAACAACAGGAAGATCACAAAATGCAATGCAAGGTTGGTTGGTGATGGTTTCAGATTATTTATTTTTTTCTGCTTATAAAAGTAATACATGAAGAGCATTGGATTTGGTGAGAGCATTTTTAAGCCCTGGCTCTGTCACATACCACCAGTGCGATCTAGACCAGTCACATCTCAGAACTACCACTTCCTCATCTGAAAACTGGACTAGAGGCCCTGTTGTGCTCACTCCACAGATGGCAGTGCGATCAAGCAGCAGAGGGGAAGCACTCAGTAAATTGGAAAGTCCTGACAGGAGCAATTAGTGTCACCTCCCTCTGCTGAGGTAGCACCAAAGTCCCAGCTCCTGCCAATTACACATAACAGCACAAGGTGACTCAGTGGGGAAAGGAGCCACACTGATCTCTCAAGCCTAGTAGGATAACGGGGTCCTGGTGGAGTCTCTCCAGAATCGGGCGTCTGCAGTGGCCAGCTGGGTGAGGATCTCCTCCAACTCAGGTCCATCCTCTGGGAAACGCTCACAGAAGGACTGGATGAGGCCTGCAGCTGAGGCTTCATACTCTAGAAGTTGCACTTCTGAACCTGGGTGGATGAGACAGAGAGACCATAGCAGTAAGGAACAATTTGAATAGAAAGCAGAATCATTACAACAGCCACAGAGCAGTGAGTTTTCAGTGAGCTCTTGGGCCCAACTCTGTTTGATGTTCAGCTTATCTAATTTAGCCCTTATAATAGCCCTAAAAGAAGGAATTATTATGGATTATGGAGAAGCATTTAAATTGCTATGTTTTTTGTTTTTTTTTTGGTGTCCGGTCATGGGGCTTGAACTCTGGGCCTGGGCGCTGTCCCTCAGCTCTTCAGCTCAAGGCTAGCACTCTACCACTTGAGCCACAGCGCCACTTCCAGCTTTTTTCTTTTTGCTAATGTGGTGCTGAGGAATCGAACCCAGGGCCTCAGGCATGCAAGGCAAGCGCTCTACCACTGAGCCACCTTCCCAGCCCTGCTATGTGTTTTCTTCCCTTCCTTTTCTTAAGATTTACACCAACAAGCATGGTGTGGTAGCTCACGCCTGTAATCCTAGTTACTCAGGAAGCTGAGATCTGAGGATTTGAGGTTCAAAACCAGGTGGGGCAAGAAAGTCCATGAGACTCTGATCTCCAGTTAATCAGCAAAAAGCTAGAAGTGGAGCTATGGCTCAAGTGGTAGAGCAGTAGCCTTGAGCAAAGAGCTAAGGGGCAGCAAAGAGGCACTGAGGTAAATCCCCAGTATTGGCACGTGTGTGCACACACACATAAGCAAAGTGAGATAGTTTATACTTGTAATCCTAGCTGCTCTAGAGGTACGAACAGGGAAGATCAAAGTTCCATGCCAACATGGGCAAAAGGTTAGCAAAAGACCCCATCTTAACAAATAAGCATGGTGACACATGCCTGTGTGATCTCAGTTATTAGAGAGACATGGGTAGAATGTTCATGGTCTGAGGCCTCAAAAACAAAGCTAAAGGAAGAAAAAAGTGTTGGGACTATGGCTCAAATGGTAGACTGCCTGCCTATCAGGTACTACCAAGAAATCGATTTTCACCAAAACCAAGCAGAATATGATGCTACAGATGTGTAATCCCAGCACGAAGAGCCTAAGGCAGGAGGATCCTGCATTTATTTATTTAAATTGTTTGTTTTGGGGGTCCAGTCGTGGGGCTTGAACTCTGGGCCTGGGCGCTGTCCTCAGCTCTTCAGCTCAAGGCTAGCGCTCTACCACTTGAACCACAGAGCCACTTCCGGCTTTTTAATTTTTGCTTATGTGGTGCTGAGGAATGGAACCCAGAGCCTCAGGCATGCAAGGCAAGCGCTCTACCACTGAGCCACCTTTCCAGCCCTGAGGATCCTGAATTTAAAGGCTAGCCTGGGCTACCTAATAAAACTCAGTCTGGAAAAAAAAAATCACAAGACTCCAAAAGTCAACAGAAAGATTTACATCAGGTACCATGTTAGGTAATACAGATAGGGTCCTTGAGCTCCTGGAGTTATAGTCCAACAACTGCCTTGTCTCTGCCTACACCTCAGGCAAGTTTCTCAACCTATCTAAACCTCAGTTTCCCATCTATGAAGTGGGCTGAGCACAGAATTACTTCTCCCAAGGAGCTATAGTGATTATGTCCAATAATGCCCATTGGCTGGTGTGCTGCCAGTGCAGCAATCCCAGTGGCAGCCTATTTACTCCCCTGTGAGTGTGCCTGTTCTGAGTGACCCGAGTGCTCACGGGAGTTTCCCTCTAACACATTTTAGTGCTCCACTTGGTCATAGCACTGAGTGTATTGTGGCATTTCCAGGTATACTGTAGCTAAGAGCATAGGCTCAGGCTCAAAAGGCCAAGTTCAAGTCCTGCCCTTGTCCTCTCCCCCACAACTAGCTGTATGAATTCAGGCAAATATTTGGTCTGTTTCAGTTTCCAGCTAGGGTAATACCCATGTTGGGAGTTGATCCATGAAAATATTTTACCCAGTGCCTGGAACCTCATCTAATCACTATCTCTGTTTTTGTGTGTATGCCAGTCCTGGGGCTTGAACTCATGGCCTATGTGTTGAACCTGAGCTTTTTTTTTTTTTTATTTGCTGGTCCTGGGCACTGGGCACTGTCCTTGAGCCTCTCTGGGCTCAAGGCTAGCATTCTACCACTTGAGCCACAGTACCCCTTCTGGCCTTTTCTGTTTATGTGATACTAAGGAATCGAACCCAGGGCTTCATTCATGCTAGGCAAGCACTCTACCACTAGGCCTCATTCCTAGCCCTGTCACTAAGCTTTTGTGCTCAAGCTAGCACTCTACTACTTGAGTACCAGTGCCACTTCTGGCTTTTTTGGTGGTTAATTGGAGATAAGAGTCTCACAGGCTTTTTGGCCTGGGCTGGCTTCAAATCTGGATCCTTAGATCTCAGCTTCCAAGTAGCTAGGATTATAGCCATAAGCCACCAGTACCTGACTCATGTCTTATCCTTCCCTCTTTCCCTCCCACCACTCTTTCTTTCTTTCTTTTTGGGTATGGTCTTGGGGCCTGGGCACTGTTCATAAGTTTCTTTTACTCAAGGCTAGCTCCACTTCTGACATTTTCCTGGTTCATTGGACATAAGAGTCTTACAGACTTTCCTGCCCAGGCTGACTATGAACCACGATTCTCAGATCTCAGCATCCTGAGTAGCTGGGATTATGGGCCTGAGACAATGGCTCTGGGCTCTTATTTTTAATGATACTAAAAGCAGTTCAGGAGAGGATCTAAGTCCCACCCACCCCTCCATCCCTCAACAGCTCCCACAGAGCTGGACATAACAAAGCAATGGTGATGCTATCCATGGGCCAACAAGCTTTGTTCACTGACAACAAGGAGCAACTGCTCTAGCCTGGTCCCATTCTAGAAAGATGAGACAGAAGAGAAAATAACCAAGCATTACTTTGTATTGAGGGGTCAGGACAGCATGCTCAGGGGACCTGAGTGACAGATCTCAGGTCGGATGGTGCCAAGCAGAGGGAACAGCATGTACAAAAGGCTGCAGGAGAGGAGTGAGCTTGGTGTGCTGGAGAAATGGGAGAGCACACAAGGTGCAGGCGCCGATGCAGACCTGGTCAGGACTTTTGGAAATGGAATTGTTACTTGAGAAGAGAGGAGGCTGAGGGAGCTGATATCCATCCAACACACTGCACAATCAAATTCTCCCTTGGCTTCTACTTGGCCTGCACAGTCCCAGCTCGTTGTCTGATCTTGACCTGGAGCCAGGGCTCCCCAGTTCCTAGCCTGGCTGCCCAGAAGCCTCTGCTCTGCCCATCTTCCTCAGGCCTTTCCTTGCTGTCTTACAACCAGCCTGCCCCCTGTGCAAGTGTGGAAGGAGATGCCAAGGCTCTGGCCTGAGGTTTGGTAGGGGAAGGAGCACAGCAGGAAGGGCGGGGGGGGGGGCGGGGGACACTCCATACAAGCCTTCTCAGAGCTCGAGTGCTGTGGATCCTTTGTGATCCCAAAGGCCCTGCTTGGCTCCATCAAAGGGGCCTGGAGTCCATTAATTTACCTTCAAGGCGAGTGTTCGGCTGCACAATGAGCTTCCGAGATTCCTTGCGCAGCAGCACTGTATCCCTGAGGGTGAGGAAGCACTCGGGGGGCGTATTGGTGACGGCTGCATACCCCTCATACAGGGCCCGCCCTGCAACCACATCCCCCGTGGACTTGAGCACCTGTCAGAAGGAAGGAAAGAAGAAATGTCCACGCACCCTCCATCCACAGGGCTCTACCAGGGGCTGAGGCCAATCGCACCCAGCCCTGGACAGTCTCTGTTATGGTTTGTCTCCTCCAACTATGGGTGTCAGCCAGATGCTGGTGGCGCATGCTTGATCCTCGATACTCAGAAGGATGAGCTCTGAGAATCCCAAATGCACCAAGCACTCTCAGGTGTTACCAATGGCCTTGGCACTTGCTGTTTCTCCTCTGTCTCAGATCTTCACATAGCCGATTCTCCCTTGGCACTTACCTCCTGGAGGAATCCCTCTTTGGTCCACAGACAATGGTGGCCTTTCTCTTCCCTTTCCTATCTCACTCCCCTTAACGTCCTGCGGTTTCTTTACCTTTACAGCTGTCTACTTGTGGAATGAAGGACCTGGGAGGTATTAAGAGGGTGAGGGCAGGGAAGAGGCTGGGGTGGAGGTGGGATGTCCAAAGCAAGAGGCTCTGGGTTACCTGGAGTCTCCGTAGAAACCGTTCCAAGGCGGGCTTGCCCACAGACCGGATCTTGCTACGGTCCAGGCGGACACGGGCATCAGGACGTCCATCAGAGCCGATGGTGGGGGTGACGGTTACGAGTCCCTGGCCAGCTTCCAGCAAGACTCTCAGAATCACATACCGGGCCTGCATGTGAGCCTGCCAGGGCCAGGGGGAAAGAGATCATTTGTAGCCGGTATCAAGCACTTAGCCCGGGCCTAATGAGCTGTACTTGCTACTAATTGTTAATTAGTGCTTCACCATGTCACCATCACCATACAGTGCCTACAAGGGTCACTTGCTGCTAACACCCAGAGGAGTTTCTTTTCCTCCATATTATTTGTGCTCAAGAATGGAAACAAGGGCTGGGTGCCAGTGGCTCATGCCTGTAATCCTAGCTATTCAGGAGGCTGAGATCTGAGGATCATGGTTCAAAGCCAGCCCGGGCAGGAAAAGCTGAAAACTGGAAGTGGTGCTGTGGTTCAAGTGGTAGAGTGCTAGCCTTGAACTGAAGAGCTGAGGGATAGCGCCCAGGCCCAGAGTTCAGGCCCCATGACTGACCAAAAAAAAAAAAAGAATGAAAACAAGGTATCTTTGTCTCCATTTAGCAGATGATCAAATGAGAGCCCAGGAAGTAAAGTGACTTGTTCAGGGTCGCACAGCTGGTAAAGGAAGACCTAGAATCAGACCAGGTGTCCAGATTACAAACTGTGCATTTTATGTATCTGTTCTTCCTACCTTCCTCCTCCTCCTCTTTTTTTTTTTTTTTTGGTTGGTTGTGCGGCTTGAACACTGGGCCTGGACATTATCCCTGAGCTTTTGTGCTCAAGGCTAGTGCTCTACCACTTTGAGCCATACTGCCACTTCTGGTTTTCTGGTGGTTAATCCTGATCTTAGCCACACCGAAGGCTCCTGCTCAGGGCCCATGGGCTCTACCAGCCCTACCTGTCGCCAGCTGGAGGTCTCTGGGGTGTAGAACTCCAGAGCCAGCAGCCCAGCTCGAAGCATGTTGAGCCAGTTCACGTAGATCACATCTTCTGCATCTGTCCCTTTGAAGCCAAAGATCCTGGGGGTTCAGGACACTGTGGTCAGGGATAGCCCTGCTCTCCAGGTCCCCGAGCCAGCCACTGCCTGGACATCCCCACATCCTTCCGGCCCACAGTTCCTACTCTAGCACTTGAGGGTTGAGGCAGAGGTAGAGGCCCACACTCTCAGCCCGGCACTCTTCGTAGCTGGAGGCGATGGTGCTGAACTTGCTGTCCCACGTCTCCCCACTCTGGTACCAGCTTTGAATCTGGGAAGGAGACCCAGGAATCAGAGCCCGCCCGTGCCCACCCTCCCAGTCCCCTGGGCTCCATGGAGGCCACCCTTACCTGCTCCCCTGTCTCAGGGTTGATCACTGTTTCCTGGTCAAAGTTGAAAGTTCCTTTTTCATCCTGTAGGATGGTTATAAGCATGGAGCATGTGAGGGACAGGCGCCCCAGCCTGTTCTGGGCCTTCAGCCCCACAGCCCCTGGGCCTCAACAGTGACTCAGAAACGTGAGTGGGGCTGGGTCCTAGCTACCCAACAGGCTAAGATCTGAGGATTGTAGTTTGAAGTCAGCTCAGGCAGTTAAATCCCTGAGACTTTTTTTTGGGTTGGTCATGGGTCTTGAACGCTGGGCCTGGGCGCTGTCCCTGAGCACTTCAGCTCAAGGCAAGCGCTCTACTACTTGAGCCACAGCACCATTTCCAGTTTTCTGGTGGTTCATTGGAAATAGTTTCACGGACTTTCCTGCCTGGGCTGGCTTTGAACTGCAATCCTCAGATCTCAGCCTCCTAAGTAGCTTACAGGCATGAGCCACGGGTGCCTGGCTTGGCCCAGGCCTTGAGTTCAAACCTGAGATGAGCTGTTTCTCCCTGAGTGGGATGCGCAGGGTGTGGGGGCAGGGAGGGGAGCCCAAGGAACGGCCACTGGTCCAGGCTGGTCCACCTTCTCACCTGAGCGAAGAGTTTGCCACTGCCGTGGCCCAGCAGCTCGTGCAGGCCCACCTGCACATCGAAGGAGGGCCCCTTCCAGCGGGTGAACAGATCCTGCAAGACAAGCAGGGACCCCATGTCCGCTGTCCCGCCACAGCCACCCAGGCTGACTGGGGCACATGCCTGGCAGAGACCAAGGGTATTCTGCCCGCCGTGGCCCATCTCCTCTTGTAAAGATGGAGGCAGGGGAGAATGTGTGAGAGAGGAAGCGGAGGCCCCACGGTGCACACAGGCCCACAGCAGAAAGTTACTACACCAGGCATCAAGGATGCGCTGTGCTTGCTTGTGGCTGGGCTGTCTACCTTCTTAGACCACTTGAGATCCAGCCCCACCCCTCAGGTTGCTAGAACCCACCTTATCCTCCTCCTCCAAGAACGTGAGCTTCTCTCGAGGTGTGGAATAGGCCACAGCCAGCACGTTTCCCAGAGATACGTTCTTAAAGCCTTCTGTCTGCCTCAGGTCATCATCTGAAGGAAAAGGCCATGAGGAACCAGGCAGAAAATCAAAGTCAAGGGACACAGAAAAGGAGCAGATGGAAGCTAGGTGCTGGTGGCTCCCGTGTATAATCCTAGCTACGCAGAAAGCTGAGATGGGAGGGTCATGGTTCAAAGCCAGCCCCAGGCAGAAAAATCTGTGAGATTCTTATCTCCAATTAAAGCTAAAAGAGAAGGGGTAACAAGGTTTAAAAAGAGCACAGTACCAAGGGCCAGTAGCGCATGCCTGTAATCCTAGCTACTCAGGATTAACAACCAGAAAACAGGAAGTGGTGCTGTGGCTCAAAGTGGTAGAGCACTTGCCTAGAGCTGAAGAGCTCAGAGACAGGGCCCAGGCCGAGAGCTCAAGCCCCATACTGACAAAAAAAGAAATGTACTCATTACCTTACTTTTGTAATTGTAACTCCCCACCCCCAGTTCATCACCTTTACAATAAAAAAGAAAAGAGAAAGAAAGAATGAAAGAAAGAAAGAGAAAAAAAAAGAAAGACAGAAAAAAGCTAAAAGATAACACCCAGTTGGAACTTCAGGACCAGTACATACACATACAAATAAATAAACAAAAAGAAGAACAGACTGAAGGATGAACTGGACAGGACAATCTGTGGCCAGAGCGAATGGGTATATGTGTGTGGAAGGAGAGGGTTTCCCATGGGGCCTTGGGGCTTAGGGGAGGGGGGCTCCCATAGGATCTTGGGGCTTGGGAGAGGCCCAGGAAGCTCACAGTTGGGGATGTTGATGCCAGCAGGGATGCCAGAGCCAGCGAAGGTGAGGACATCCAGGGAGGTGAAGTCAGGGGTGAGGAACTTGTCCTTCTCGAAGGCTGGTGGCCAGGGTAGCTCCTTCAGCAGCTGTTCAGCACTGGCCACCAGCCGCTTGAACTTGGCACTCATGGCCTTGTTCACCATGGCCACAAAGCCTGCAGGGGACAAAGGGGCTGTGGCTTGCCGGAGTCCTGGGGGACCAGGGTCCTGGGATCCCATTCTACCTACCCAACCCTTCCAGTATCACGTGGCTATGGAATGCTGCTGTGCACAGTGGCCCAGTGCTGGCTGCTGAGGGCAGCAGACCGAGAGCTGGGCCCTAGCAGATCAAGTCCAGGCAGAAAGCTGAAGGTGTGTGAGCCTGTCTCACACACAGGCTCAGCTCTAAGCCCCTGGTGACGTGCTGGCACTTTCTGTTCTTCTCTCAGGCTGGATGCTCAGCTTTTTTATTCATGGCTAGGAGGATGATGGTATGTGGAGGCAAGTCTGACTCATCAGACAGGGTGCTAGCCAATGTCTAGCTATTCAGAAGGCTGAGATCTGAGGATCAAGATTCAAAGCCAGCCCAAGCAAGAAAATTTCTAAGACTCTTTAGCTCCAATGGACCAGCCAAAAGTTGGGAATGTAGTTGTGATTCAAGTGGTAGAGCACTTGCCTTGAATAAAGCAGCTCAGGACAGCATTCAGGCCCTGAGTTAAAGCTCTAGTACATGTGCACACATGCGCGTGTGCATGCGCACACACACACACACACAGAATGTGTGTCTGTCCAGAGTCTGTGCCCTCACCAGACTCCGGAGGCCGCATAGCTAAGTACTTCAAAGTGCTGGGCTCAGTCACCAGCAATAGATTAAAATTTCAAAAGATGATGTACAAATGGGTACATATAGGTCAGCTTCATACAACAGTGCTAGACATGATAAATAATGGTTACTTTTCACGTCTGTTCTTATTGGGAGTAAACTTGGAGCTAGGGGAAGGGATTCTGACCCAACCTCCTCCACTCACGAGAAGTTACCTTCAAACTCTCCTCGGGAACCAAAGGGGTCTCGATAGCTCTCGATGAAGCCGATGTAACTGGGGGAGAGAAGGGCAGTCATGGAAGAAGGTGGGCGGGAAGGGGGGAGGGGAGGCAGGGCCGGTGCCTTACCTCTCCACAATGGGGCCTTTGTCCTGGATCCAGAAGCGGGAGCCCCTCTTGTGGGCCTCGATGGAGCCGTGGGTGAAGCTCTCCATGTACTGGGCCAGCATCTGCTCCTGGAGGCTGTTGGCTGCGTATGCCTGGGGGTGAGTGGAGTTCCATCAGCCTCCGGCAGCCCTCGCATCCCCAGCCTCTTCTGCTGCCAGAGGAATCCTGAGTCAATGGCCCTGCATCCTACCTTGGCTTTCTCCAAGTGCTCTACCACCTTCTGGAGAATGGGGCCATAGTCTCCCCGTGTCACCTGGAAATGGCTCCCCCGAAATTCATAGTTCTTCGGCTTGGGAGTCACTTCCGAGTCTAGAAAAGGATCTAAGAAAAGAGCAAATGCTCAGGAAAAGGCCAGTGTACACAGCTCAGCTGTCCTTCCTCTATGGGGCTCACTCTAAGATGCTCCATGATGTCCTATTACCAACAGAAATTAGCGTTAAACTCCCATCTTCCAAAACATTGTGTTTTACATAATATAAAATGTTCTGAACATTTTACACCTATTAGTCCACTTAAGCTTCACACCAACTCTAGGGTGTGTCTGTTGTATAGACTAGTATGTCCATTTTATAGATTGGTAAACTATGACACTGAAAGGCTGTCTAGGCTTTCAAAAATCACAAGGACAGAAAGTGGAGAGCGGAGGTTGTGACCCTATGTAGCAGATTATATTGAAAAAGAGCCACTGGTCAGATACCAATGGCTCACATCTGTAATGTCAGCTACTCAGCAAACTAAGATCTGAGGATCAAGGTTATTTGAAACCAGTCTGGGAAGATAAATCTGATGGACTCTTTATCTACAATTCATCACTAAAAAAGCCAGAAGTAGAACTGTAGCTAATATGGCAGAGAGCCAGCCTTAAGTGAAAGAGCTAAGCAAGAACATGAGGCCCTGAGTTGAAACCCAGTACCAGCACCAAAAGTAAACAAATTAGACATGCCAGGTGTGGTAGTGCACACCTATAATTCCAGCACTCAGGAGGGAGAATGAAAGTCATACCAGTCAGAGCTAACAAAGCAGGACCTTGCCTCAAAATAAAATATTAAAAAAAAATTAAGAGTTATATCCCAGAAGTAATCCCACTGGTCCTTATGAAGAGATAAGCGGGAAGTGGGGAGAAGAAATTGTGATGACAGAAGGGAGAAGTTGTCACGTGCACTCACATTCGTGGAGTAACTCAGGGGAGGGGAGTAATTCAGCCTAGGGAGAAAAAAATCCCTAAGACTCCATCTCAACCAATAAAAAAAGTTGGGTGCAGTACCACATACCTATCATCCCAACTACAGTGGGAAGCATAAATAGGATTGTGGCCCAAGCAAAAAGCAAGATCTTAACCTAAAGAATAAGAAAAGTAAAAAAGAAAGGCCTGGCTCAAATAGTAGAGAGCTGGCCTAGCACAACTCCCTGAGTTCAAACCCTAGTACAACCAAAAACAAGAAAAAAAAGGTTAGGGTGAAGCAAGAAAGTGGCCACTACTCAAGACATGCCAGTGGAGCCGGGCACAGGTGGCTCACGCCTGTAATCCTAGCTACTCAGGAGGCTGAGATCTGAGGATCACGGTTCAAAGTCAGCCTGGGCAGCAGGCAGTGAGATTCGTACTCCAATAAACCACCAGAAAACTGGAAGTGGTTCTGTGGCTCAAACGGTAGAGCGCTAACCCTGAGCTGAAGAGCCTGAGGACTCAGGCCCAGAGTTCAAGCCCCATGGCTGACAAAATAAGTAAATAAATAAATGAATAAATAAATGCCAGTGGCATTTTAGATACCAAAAAAACCTTCATACATCTCAACTTTATACTTAACCTCCAGAACTGTAAAGGAATAAACCCCACATTATTTTGAATGTTAAACGTGTAACAATTTGTTACAGAAGTAATGGGATAACAAATATACTGTTGCATTTTGCTTGACTTTGACCAGTATAATCATTCCTTTTTATCTTGGGGTGATATATCTCAAAATGCCCAGTGCATGCTTCGAACCAGGGATGGTATGAACCCTGTATGGATGATAGTCCTTCCTCTATGATAAAGGTTAACTTACAGATGAGGCCCAGGAAAAGACTAACGACAGGGTGGCGCTAGTGGTGGTTCATGCCTGTATTCCTGCTATGAGGAGGCTGAGATCTGAGGATTGCAGTTGGAAGCCAAGAAAATTCCCTGTGAAACTCTTTTTTTTTTTGCCAGTCCTGGGGCTTGACTCAGAGCCTGATCACTTCCCTGAGCTTCTTTTATTCAAGGCTAACACTTTACTACTTGAGCCACAGTGCTACTCTTGACTTTTTCTGTCTATGTGGTACTGAGGAATCGAACCCAGGGCTTTATGCAAACTAGGCAAGCACTCTACCACTAAGCTATATTCCCAGCTCCTGGTGAAACTCTTATCTCCAACTAACCACTCAAAAAACTGGAAGAGGAGCTATGACTCAAAGTGGTAAAGCGGTAGCCTTGAACAAAAGAGCTCAGGGACAATCCCCAGGCCGAGTTCAAGCCCCATGAATGAAAAAAAAAAGAGAGAGAGAGAGAGAGAGACTAACAAACAGGTAATAATAAAGTGATTACTTATAACAATATGCTATAATCACTATCATCAGTTACTTAAAAGTAATGGGTGATTCATTTGCACTCAGTACTTTTGGACCACAGATGGCCACTGGTAGGCAAAGAACTTGAAAAGTACAATAAAAGAGGACCAGAGAACTTAGACCAAGTAACCATTTTTTCATGTGCCAGTACTGGGGCTTGACTTGAGAGCTATCTCTGAGCTTTTTTGCTCAAAGCTGGTGCTCTACCACTTGAGCCACAGCTCCACTTCCAGCTTTTTGCTGGTAAATTAGAGTCTCACAGATTTGTCTACCTGGGCTGGCTTCTAACTGGGATCCTCAGATCTCAGCCATTCTAAGTAGCTAGGATTATTCCAGTGCTTGGCTGCATTATCTTCTTTTCTTTTCCTTATGTGGTACTGGGGCTGGAACCCAGGTCCTGACCCCTCCTACTCCCTGAACCCATCAGACTAGACTACATGGCTCCCACAGCTTGCCCATCACCCCACTGTGGCTCATGCCATTCCCTCCACCAAGTACACAGTCGGCTACACATCAAGTACCTGAGAATCTTCCAAACCTAGGTTCTGGGGAGACAGTGATGCCTGAAACACAGTCCTTCCTTTGTGGGGGCTTTGCACATGAGTGGGGTAAACAGAAACCCAAGTGAGAAATTACAGAGCTGGTAACACCTGGCTAGGGAATGGGAAGGAGCTGGCTGGGTGGATGTGGAGGGGCCTGAGAAAGTTCTGAGCAGCAGGCAGGGAATTACTATGAAAGGCCTGGGGGGGGGAGTGGATGTCGGAGCCAGAAGCTGAGGAGAACCGTGGGGAAGAAAATCTAGGGTAGAGGTAGGTCCTGGAGGGCAAGGGTTGGAGAGGGTATGTGGTACGGGGGAGGGGGTATGTGTGTGAAGATGATGAGCCAGAAGGCCAGGTACTGGTAGCTCACACCTGTAACACCTAGCTACTCAGGAGGCTGAGATCTGAGAATCACAGTTGGAAGCTGACCCAGATAGACAATTTCATGGGTCTCTTATCTCCAACTAACTAGCCAAGACAAAAACAAAAAACAAAAACAAAAGTGGAGGTATGGTTCAGGTAGTAGAGCATCAGCTTTGAGTAAAAAAGCTACGCAAGAGTAGGCGGCTCTGAGTTCAAGCCCTACTATTGTCACAAGATAAAGAAAAAGAAGGGCCAGCAGGGGTTGGGTGCTGGTGACTCAAGCCTGTAATAATCCTAACTACTCATAAGGATGTGATCTGAGGATTGAAATTCAGAGCCAGCTCAGGCAGAAAAGTCCATGAGACTCTTAGCTCCAATTAACCAGTAAAGAGCTGAAAGCAGAGGTGTGTTCAAATGATAGAATAACAGTCTTGAGGGGGAAAGCTAAGCACAAGTTCAAGGCCCTGAGTTCAAGCCCTACTACCAGTATATACACAAAAAGAAACATCAGCTGGGCACTGGTGGCTCACGCCTGTAATCCTAGCTACTCAGGAGAGTTGAAAGCCAGCCCAGGCAGGAAAGACCATGAGACTCTTATCTCCAATAAACCACCAGAAAAAACAGAAGTGGTGCTGTGGCTCAAGTGGTAGAGCGCTTGCCTTGGGCTGAAGAGCTGAGGACGTGTGTGTGTGTGTGTGTGTGTGTGTGTGTGTGTGTGATTTCCATCCAGCATCTAATCCAGAATTCCCTCCCGAAGAGCTGAGGACGTGTGTACATGTGTGTGTGTGTGTGTGTGTGTGTGTGTGATTTCCATCCAGCTGAGGACGTGTGTGTGTGTGTGTGTGTGTGTGTGTGTGTGTGTGTGTGATTTCCATCCAGCATCCAATCATCCAATCCAGAATGCCCTCCCCCGCCACACACTGCTACTACCTTAAGCCTGGGGGAGCTTGGGAGGGGCTGACCTCATTCCCTGGCTTAGAGTGGCCAAGATCAAGGAAGGCAAACCAAGTCTTTGATTTGGATTGGATCCCAGGACACTGAGGGCCCCAAATGGAGACTACAGCCACTCGAGGCTGTATGCAGGAACAACGGGGACAGGACTCTCTTTCTTTTGGAGCGGCTCAGCTGGTGGCCTGAGCCATCCAGGTCTGGGGAAGCCAGGGAGGACTCGAGGGGCCTGGACTCACCTTTGTAGAGCATGGACGCCAGCCGCACCTCATAGGAGGTCTTCCCATCCCGGTCGACCTCCTTGAATAGCCGCGTATTGTAGGCACTGAGGTTCTGGAAAAGATAGGGACAGGATTTGGGGGACAGTGAGGTCCAGAGGAGAGACAGCAAGGGAGGTAAAGCAGGCCGGGGCCTCCATGGCGCCTTCCTGAATCTGCTGTAAGACAGGGCAAGTGGCAAGGGCTGAGCGTTCCTGCTTGGCTCAGTACACTGAGCATTGACTTTTGCTAAGCACTGACTCAACCATGCCATGCATCGTATGACATCCATTAACCCAGGGCCACAGCGATTGTCCACAGAAAAGCAGCTCATTGGCTAGTGAGCAGCACACAGTCCCAGAGCCCCAGCTAGAGATGTGGTTCTTGCTGTTTCATCCTGCCCCGAGCTGTCTCAGGCCTTAAAAGCAGAGGCAGCTCCAGCCTCCCACATCCGTGACGTCAAAGGCTCCCCAGGTCCTTTCTACCCCATGGACCCAAGATGCTCTGACTCTGGGTTCAAGCTGGGACCCAAAAGCAGGCCAACGGTGAGGGACCAGGAGTAGGGGTCCCACCAAACTACCACCCTGAGGCCCAATGCCCAAACCTGGGAGTCCAGAAAGTCTTGGGCCAGTTTGGCATCTTCCATGGTACAATTCTCAGAGAAATAGGTGGTGACTCCCTGTTGGTGAAGTGGGGGAGGTGAGTTAATGGAGGGCAGGAGGGACTGCCCAGCAGGTGGTGGCCAGCCTCCTTCCCAGGCTCCCCGGGCCTCCACTCAGCAGCCTCCACCCTGCCTCCTCCAGCTCTTTCCAGGGAAGAAAGATACAAAAACAAAGAAACAAGTAGATGCTCATTTGGGGGTCTCTCCTCTCGGGCTGGTCCACCCTTCAGGCTTTCTTGTCTAACCCTGCACAGCCCAAGTTGCCTCCAAAGACCAGAGGCCCGGGAGCCTTCCTTCCCTAACACCTCCTTCCCCAGGGCCCTCCCTCTCCCAGATTTCCTCTCCTTTGCGCACAGCATCCTGGGAGGTCAGATGTAGGTATTCAGTCCATCTTGCCTGTTTCCCACTTTGCAGATGGCAAAACTGAGACAAGCTACAGAAGATAGCTTGTCAGTCGCTTGTAGCCCTCACCTCCTTCCCCAGCCCAAGGTGTCGAAGCCTTGGCTCCAAAGAGAACATGAGGTCCCCACAGTTCTGCCAGAGCCTCCTGACTTCTTCTGGATACTGTTGGGCAGCCACGCTGCACAGGACCACACATTCCAGCTTCTCCTGCAGGGGAACAAAAGGAAGCCACAGGCCTGGTCACGTGCTCCCCCCAAACATGCCCTCCAGAGCCTTCCTCGGCTCCCAAGCTCTTATTTTCCAATTGAAGGCCTCAGAGCGTGGCTTGGGGACCAGCAGCCCCTGCAGGGCCTGACACAAGGGTGGAAGCTCAGGCCTGCACAGCCCTGATGAACTGGGCAGACATTTCCACATCCCAGTGGCTCATGCAGATATTATGGCCTGAGGAGTGCTGGTGCGGGAGTACAGTTGTTCCCGAGAGGCTCAGGCCCCACTGATGAGGGGGATGCCCCAGGCCCCCAAACCCCCATTCCCAGTGATAACCCTATTTTCTTTCTTGTGCTGGTACTGGGGCTTGAACTCAAGACCTGAGCACTGTCCCTGGGCTTTTTTGCTCAAGGCTAATGCTCTACCACTTCAGCCACAGAGCCACTTGCGGCTTTTTTTGTGGTTCATTGGAGAGAAAAAGTCTCATAGACTTTCCTGCCTGGGCTGGCTTTGAACTGAGATCCTCAGATCTCAGCCTCCTGAGTAGCTAGGATTGCAGGCATGAGCCACCAGCACCTGGCATGGGCTCCATCCTTACAAGCACCTAACAGTTCACAATTCTACACCCTGCCCTCGTCTAACCAAGCTGAGATCTTCCTTTATATGGGAATTTGCAGTGACCGGCAAGGCTGGGTGACACATGGTTGACAGTGAAGGTTCGACCCAGTATCTCTTACTCCAGCTGGGGCTCTTCCTGTGGCATTTGCCACCCCCTCACCCCTATACCTGACCTTCCCCAGCTCACCTTGGGGAGGTTGGGAACAAACTTGGTGTCACCAAAAGACTTGTAGTTGCCCATGTTGGAATAGACCCCTGCAGCATAGACCAGGAACGCCTGAGGAGGGGAGGTAACATCAAATCAGAGACCAAGGAAGGCACAGTCCCCCCTCACCTCCCCGCCAGAGAGTATCCACCCCAGATCAGAACACCCGGATGGAACCAGAACCAGGATGGAGGGGGCGGGCAGGGAACTCTGGGGACAGGACCCAGAGATCCTGAAAAGCTCCAGTCTGGCTTAAGTTGTTTTCATAAACCAATTTTTCACACCTCCAACAGCACACCCAAATGGGTCTCAGTAGTTCAGACTCAACAATTCATCAGAAAACAACCAGAGTCTCACCCATCTTTGCTCCCTCTACCCTCATCTGAATGTCTTGAAGGCCAAGTTCTAACACTGCCTCCTTCTGTGGAAAGCCTTCCCCCAAACAGCAGGCCTGCATGGCAGCTGGCAATGGATACAGCAAACAGAATCAGAGAGGGCTCAGTCACCTATCTAATACTGTGGTGTTTTCCAGCCCCAGCTCTAGTCTCCCTCAAAACCTCCATCTTCCTTTCTGGAAGGATAGCTGGGGGAGGAATGTCCTTACCCCACCCCCTCCAAAGAGAGGCATGTAAAGTGGCTCAGCCAATCAGAGAAAGCTCTTTCCCTAACTACAGGGATAAGCATAAGACTCACGGTGGCCACTACCCCCTCGTCTGAAGCCCCTAGGTTCCTCTACTGGGGTAGAGAGAGAAATGAAGGAAGACTGAATCTCCATGACAGCACTGAGCTCCTAAATCCAGCTATACCTGAAGCCTCCTCAATTATGTGAGTCAATTATTTTATTCATGCATTCGAGATGGGTTCCTACTACTTGCAAACAAATGGATCCCACCCAATATAGTAACATTTGGGACTTCCCCTTATGAACATTTCCATAGATGCTATGGAACTCTGAGTATTTCCATAAATACTAGCTCTTCGTAGCTCCAGGCCCAGGAATAGAAAGGATTACCCAAAGTGCAACAAGGGTGTTAAGCTGATCAATCCTTTATTCTACTTATAGAAAAACAGACCATATTCCCATATAGTCTCTTTTTGTGTGCCAGTCCTGGCTTGTACTCAGGCCCTGGGTGTTAGCCCTGAGTTCTTTTGCTCCAAGCTAGTGCTCTACCACCTGAGCCACAGCTCCATTTCAGGTTTTCTGGTGATGAATTATAAATAAGAGTCTTAGGGGCTTTTCTGCCCAGGCTAGCTTTGAACTTCAATCTTCAGATCTCAGCCTCTTGAGTAGCTAGAATTATAGGTGTGAGTTACCAGTACCATGCTTTCATATATTCTTGGTGGGAATGTAAAAAGGCAAAAAGCTTTTCTAGAAAGTAATTTAACAGAATTAGTTAATTATAAATGTGTGAAGCCTCCAATTCAGCAATTCACCTTCTAGACCTAGATCCTACTCACACATGTGCACAAAGAAGATCACAGTGGAACTGATTTTAAGAAAAAACAGGAACCCTCTAGATGCCCAGCAAAAAAAAAAAAGACTAAGATGATCACAGTATATATTGCTGTGGGTTAACAGTCAAAAAAAAAAAAAGAATGGCAGCTCAGTGGTAGTGCTTGCTTTGCATGCATGAGGCCCTGGGTTTGATTCCTCAGCACCACATAAACAGAAAAAGCTGGAAGTGATGCTGTGGCTCAAGTTAGTAGAGAACTAGCCTTGAGCTGAAGAGCTGAGGGACAACAGCACCCAGGCCCAGAGTTCAAGCTCTACAACTGACAAAAAAAAAAAGAGCAAGGTGTGGTTGGGAATGTGGCTTAGTGGTAGAGTGCTTACCTAGCCTGCATAAGCCCTGGGTTCAATTCCTTAGTAACACATAAACAGAAAAAGCCAGAAGTGGCACTGTGGCTCAAGTGGTAGAGTGCCAGCCTTGAGCAAAAGACAGTCAGGGACAGTGCCCAGGCCCTGAGTTCAAGGCCCAGGGTTGGCAACAAACAAACAAAACAAACGAGGTGGAGGCAGATGTAGTGGCCTATACCCATAAATACAGCTACTCAGGAGGCAGAGATAGGAGAATCATAATTTGAGGCTAGTCTGGGTAAAAGTTAGTGAACCCCTATTTCAAAATCAAGCTGAGGGAAAAACCCATTAAAACAAATAAAAAAAATCAAGCTGGAGCCTTGTCTATATGCCTTTAATCTTAGCTACTCTAGAGGCTGAAATCTGAGGACTGAGATTCAAAGCCAGCCTAGGCAGGAGAGTCCATAAGACTCTTATCTCCAATTAGCCATAAAAAGGGGGCACAGGGCTGGGGATCAGTGTTTCTTGAAAATCCTAGCTACTCAGGAGGCAGAGATTTGAGGATTAGAGTTTGAAGCCTGGGCAGGAAAGTCTGTGCAACTCTTATCTCCAATAAACTACTAAAAAAGCAGATAGTGGAGCTGTGGCTCAAGTTTTAGAGCACTAGCCTTGAGCAAAAGGAGCTCAGGGTCAGCATCTGAGCCCTGAGGTCAAGTCAAGCCAACACACACACACACACACACACACACACACACACACACACACACACACACACACACACACACACACACACACACACACACACACACACACACACACACACACACACACACACACACACACACACACGCTAAAGCTGAAAGTGGAACTGTGGCTCAAATAGTAGAGCACAGCCTTGAGTGAAAAAGCACCCAGGAATTGAATTCAAGCCTCAGTACTGGCTCAAGAAAGGAAGGAAGGAGGAAGGAGGAGGGAGGGAGGAAGGGAGAGAGAGAGGGAGGGAGTAAAGATGGAAGGAAGCCAGAAAAGGAGGAAAGGAGGAAGGGAAGACGGGTGGGAAAAGTGTAGCTGAAGTGGTAGAGTGCTTATCTAGCATGTACAAAACACTAGGTTAGATCTCTAACACCAAAAAAGACCAATAAATAAATAACCCCCTTTGTCCAGGTACAGTGATAGTGTATACCCGTAATCTTAGCTACTCCAGAGGTAGGAACTGTGAGGATCACAATTTGAGGCCAATCCAGGCAAAATAGTTGGTGTGATCTTTTCTCAAGCTAGTAAGCGGGGAGTGTTGGTTCACACCTGTAACCCCCTGGACTCAGCAGGCATAGGGAGAGGGGACTGCAGCCTGAGGCCAGCACTAGGCAAAACTTTAGACTTTATTCTAAAAGCAAAAAGGAGTAGTGAGTGTGGCTCAAAGCTGCAGAGTATCAGCCATGGGGTTAAAAGCTGAGCAAGAGCTTGATGGCTAGAGTCTAAGTCCCAGTATAACCCCAAAATGAATGAATGGCCAGGTCCAGTAGCACATGCTTGTAATCCTAATTACTCAGGAGGCTGAGATCTGAGGACTGAGGTTCAAAGCCAGCACAAGTAGGAAAGCCCATGAGAATCTTATCTCTAATTAACCACAAAAAAGCCAGAAGTGGAGCTGTTGTTCAAACAGTAGAGTACTAGCACTGAACAAAACAGCTCTCAGGGACAGTGCCCAGGCCCTGAATTCAAGCCCCAGGATCAGCACACACGCACACAAAATTAATGAATAAGTGAATACATACATATATACATACATGCATATATAAACAGCAAAAGGACTGACTTAAGTGGCAAAGCATTTGTCTTGCAAGCACAAGACTCTAAGTACTAAAAAAAAATAAGGTGGATTCATATATAACCCAAGGAAGGCCTCTCAGACATGATGTTCACACAGTGAAAAGAGCCAGACACACGACAACTAGCACACAATCTCATTCCTGTGAGATTAAGAACCTGACACACTACGCATGCACATCCATGCTAACAAGAAATGAAGGCCGTGTCCAGATGCAGCAGCCACCTCTGCAGAGGCTGTGAGGATGGGCAACCTTTGTGTTTTGTTTGTATAAACTACCCCTGAAACAAGTGTAAAACTCTGAGTTCAATCCACTTTGTCTTTCTGTAGTATACTAAGAATTCATGTTACCTGGCTAGTAAATCCACAAACAAGGCTGGGCGTGGCAGCACAGGACTGTAATTCCAGAACTTGGGAGGTGGGGCAGAAGGGTTGAAAGGTCTTTTCTTTCTTTTCTCTTCACAGTAGGAAGGTTTGAGCTGAGGCCTCATGTTTCCTAGGCATGTGTCCTGACAAGCCGTTTCCCTAGCCCCGTTTGCTTTATTTTTCAGATAGGGTCTTGCTTTTATCTAGGCTGGTATAAGACCTTGATCCTGGGCTGGGAAGGTGCCTCAGTGGTAGAGCACTTGCCTTGCATGCCTGAGGCCCTGGGTTCGATTCCTCAGCACCACATATGCAAAAAGAAAAAAAAGCTGGAAGTGGCACTGTGGCTCAAGTGGTAGAGCGCTGGCCTTGAGCTGAAGAGCTGAGGGACAGCGCCCAGGGCCAGAGTTCAGGCCCCACGACTGGACCCCCCCCCCAAAAAAAAAGAACCTTGATCCTCCTATTACCACTTTGCATTTGCATCACCATACATACTTGGACCCAAGATTGAGTCTGAGAATGACCTAGACTACAAAGTAATACCTTGTATTTATAAACTGATTTGTTGAATTGAAACCCCTTTGTGCAACTACTTAAAAGTAATAACAAGAAAGACAGATGGAAGGAAGGAGCGTAAGAGGGAAAAGGAAAAGAAGAAAAAAAAAGAAAAGAAAGGAAAGCTGGACACTGGTGGCTCATGTCTATAATCCTAGTTACTCAAGAGGCTGAGAATTGAAGTTTGAAGCCAGCCAGAGTAAACAATCCAAGAGACTCTTATCTGCAATTAACCAGCAAGAAGCTAGAAGTGGCAGTAGTATGGTTCAAGTGGCAGAGTGCCAAGCTGCAAGCAAAAAAGCCGATCAAGAGTTCAAGCTATGGCTGGGAAGGTGGCTCATTAGTAGAGTGCTTGCCTTGGATGCATGAGGCTCTGGGTTCGATTCCTCAGCACCATATAAACAGAAAAAGCCAGAAGTGGCACTGTGGCTCAAGTGGTAAAGCGCTAGCCTTGAGCTGAAGAACTGAGGAAGAGCACCCAGACCCAGAGTTCAAGACCCACAACTGACAAAAAGGAAGGAAGGAAGGAAGGATGGAAGGAAGGAAGGAAGGAGGAAGGAAGGAAAGAGTTCAAGCTACAACAAAAAGCAAAACCCTATCTCAAAAGTAACCAGTACCAAAAAGGGCTAGCGTGTGGCTCATACAGAAGAGTGCTTTGCCTAGCAAGTATGAAGCTCTGAGTTCAATCTGCAGCACCAGATCCTGCCCCCCCAAAATTATATATATAAATGCATATATACATACATATGTACACATATACACATATATGTATATATATGTATGTATATATGTATGTCAGGAAACAGCACATTTTCCCCAGGTCCCTATCACGTGGAAGTGGAATAGTGGCCTATATCTCAGACCTTCTGCTTTCTACTCTGAACTCCTTTCTCTCTCCTCCACAGAAACCTGCTGCTACTTCCTTAGTTCTAATCACAGCAGCCACAGGGACCTCTGTGTGGCTGGGAAGCCACATACGGACACCACCTACTCCAACAGAGACAGATGTGCCCCCCTACATCTGGGTCCCTCCCACCTAGCAGCCCTTCAGGAAACAGCCCCAGGAACTCACCTGGTACTCCTCCTCGGTCAGGCCTTGGGCTAGGGCGCGATGGCGCAGCTGGTCGGGGTCCTCGGCACGGAAGAGGCGGCTGAGCAGGGCATAGATGTAGGGCGCCTCTGGGGATGTCTGCAGCAGCACGGCCAGGCCTCCGTACCAGGCAGCCCTGGACAGGTAGTGGGCATAGAGGCGCTCTGTGGGTGACAGCAGGCGGAAGGCCTCTCGGCAGTCCAGGCTGGATACGCCGATGTCATTAGGCAGGATGTACTGGGTGTCTGCCATGAGACCTGCAGAGAACCAACACCGATATCACAGCCACAAGGGCATATGCCAACAGCCTATTTGAACGGTCCTGACTGTGCTTGCTCCTCCCAAAACCCAGGGGGGAAGGAAATACTGCGGTACCTACTCACCTAGATATCCTGAGAGTCAGCCAGGGGGCTGACACAAGGACATCATGAGATATATTAGTGGGCCATATTTGGCCTGTGGCCCATCATTCCTGAAGTCTGAATCCCAACTTCCTAGTATCACAGATGAGGAAACTAAGACCCAGAGAGGCCAAGAGCCACGCCTAATCCACAAATCCAGAAGAAGTCAGCAGCAGAGACCCTCATTTCTAGACCCGTAGGCCAGCCTCCTCCCTGCCTCTCCTCCTCTGGCTCCCAGCCTCCTTGTTCAACACTTTCTTCAACACCTAGGCTCTGGTAGTACACACCTATAATCTTAGCTTCTCAGGAAACAGATATGAGGATCATGGTTCAAAACCAGCTAAGGCAGAAAAGTCTGTGAGAACCTTTTTTTCCCCCGTCAGTCATGGGGCTTGAACTCTGGACCTGGGTGCTGTCCCTGAGCTCTTCAGCTCAAGATGCATACCACTTGAGTCACAGAGCCTAACTCAGGATGCAGAGATCTGAAGATCACGGTTCAAAGCCAGCCCAGGCAGCAAAGTCTGTAAGACTCTTACCTCCAGTGAAGTACCAAAGAAGCTGGAAGTGAAACCGTGGGGATAGAGCACTAGCCTTGAACAAAAAAACTCAGGGACAGCACCCAAGCCCTGAGTTCAAACCCCAGGACCGCCATGCATGTGCGCGCGCGCACACACGCGCGCACACACACACACACACACACACACGCACACACGCACACAAGCGGGAGGACAATGGATAATGCCAACTACATCTGGTTGGCATACAAGGTTGGTTTCTTTTGTTTGTTTTTGCCAGTCTAGGACCTGGGCACTGTTCCTGAGCTTCTTTTTGCTCAAGGCTAGCACTCTACCACTTGAGCCATAGCACTACTGCCATCTTTTTCTGCTTATGTGGTACTGAGGAATTGAACACAAGGCCTTAGAACCTAGAGCGCATGAGCACTCTACCACTAAACCACATTCTCAGCCAGCATGCAAGATTTAACTTGGATTAAGATTTTCATGCCAGGTACTGGTGCCTAACACCTATAATCATAGCTACTCAAGAGGCTGAGCTCTGAGAATCACCGCTCAAAGCCAGCCTGGGCAGGAATGTCTATGAGACTTTTTAATCTCCAATAAATCACCAAAAAGCTCCAAGTGGCACTGTGGCTCAAGTGGTAGAGAGCTTGCCTTGAGCTGAAGAGCTGAGGGGCAATACCCAAGCCCAGAGTTCAAGCCCCATGACTGGGAAAAAAAAAAAAAAAAGAATAAAATTTTCCTAGAACATACAGGTATAGGCAGAAACTTTCTGAAAAGAGTCCTAGGGGCACAGCAGATAGGAGAGAGATTTGACAAATAGGATTATATTGGGAGCTGGCCCCGTGAGCCACAGTCCTGAGACTCCTCATCCCTGCCCATGGCCTGAAGCAGCAACAGCTGATCAGCTGGGAGACAGAGAAAGAGGATGTTTCTCTCATCATAACTTTAAGCTAGACATTGTGCTCAGCTATCTCTAACCACAAGCCTCCTGATTTCTGTTATGGCTAAAGCTGCTGGCACCTACAGAATGCAACTTGTCACATACATCTTGACCTCCCCTTGCCCTTTCCTGTGCAAAAACTCTGTATAGAAAAAATACACTCTAAGGTGTACCTGCGTGTGTGCTTCCTCAATCTCCTACCTTCTTCCCTCCAAAACAGCTTGACATGGCTGGTCTGTGGCAGGAGTATATCAAAATAAAGTTTCTGCACAGCGAAGGACATAGTTACTAAATTAAAAAGATGGTGCCAAGCCTGTGGCTCATGCCTGTAATCCTATCTACTCAGGAGGCTGAGATCTGAGGAGCACAGTTCAAAGCCAGCCTGGGCAGGAAAGTCCATGAGACTCTTATTTCCAAAAAAAGCCAGAAGTGGCACTGTGGCTCAAGTAGTAGAACACTCCTATTGAGCTGAAGAGCTGAGGGACAGCGCTCAGGCCCAGAGTTCAAGCCCCCTGACCAAAAAAAAAAAAACAAAAAAAAAACAGCCAACAGACTGGGAGAAGATCCTTACCAGGAATATATCTGACGGAGTCCTCATATCCAATATATACATGGAGCTCAAGAAACTAACCCTTCCAAAGCGAATAAAGCAATCACTAAATGGGCAAAGGAGCTAAGGAGAGACTTCATAGAGAAGAGGTAAGAATGGCAAAAATGTTGAAAATGAATTATACAACTTGTAGGTGGGTACAGGAGGGGAAAACTGTGAGAGAGAGAGGGAAGGGGCGGCATTGTCCAAAAAGAAATGTACGCTTTACCTGCCTTAGGTAACTGTAACACCTTTGTATATTACCTTTATAATAATAATTTTTTGAAAAATGGCAAACCAGGTACCAGTGGGTCATACTTATAATCCTAGCTACTCAGAAGGCTGAGAGCTGAGGATCAGTTTGAAACCAGCCTGGTCAAGAAAGTCCCTGTGATCATCTCCAATTAATCATCAGAAAATCCGAATGGGAAGTACAAGTTGTCAAGTCAAAAACGAACTTTACAACTTGAGGGGGGGGGGAATTAGGTGGGGGGGAGGGAGGATGGGAAGGGATGGGAAGGGTAAACAAAGGAGGAGGCTACAATGTTTGATAAGAAATGTACTCACTATCTTGCCCATGTAATTATAACCCCTCTGTACAGTATTTTCACAATAAAAAAAAAAGAAAATCCGAATGGCACTGTTGTTTAAAGTAGTAGAGCACTGATCTTCTGCAAAAAGAGCTCAGAGACAGTGCCCAGGCCCTGAGTTCAAGCCCAAAACTGACAAAAAAACAAAAACAAAAACACATGAGGAAATGCTTATCATCCTTGGCCATAAAGGAAACACAAATCAAAACAACTTTAAAAGTCCATCTTACCCCAATTAGACTGGCCAACATTGTGAATTTCATTTTTGTTGTTGTTGTTTTGTCTTGTGAGCTTTTTTGCTCAAGGCTGGTGCTCTATGGCTTTGAGCCACAGCTCCACTTCCAGTTTTCTGGTGGTCAATTAGAGCTTACTGTCTCACAGCCTTTCCTTGCCTGGGCTGGCTTTGAACCACAATCCTCAGATCCTGAGTAGGTAGGATTACAGGTGTGAGCCACCAGCACCCAGCTCATTGTGATTTTGAACAACAAATGTTGGCAGGGATGTGGGAAAAAGGAACCCTATTGCACTGTCAGTGGGACTATAAACTAGTACAATGACTCTGGACAGCAGTCTGGAGTGACTTCAAAAAACTAAGCATAAACCTTCTCTATGATCTAGCCATACCACTCCTGGGCATTTAGCCAGAATATCACAAACCAGAATACCATAAAGATACTTGCACATCCATGTGGGCTGCACTATTCACAATAGCCAATTTATAGAAACAGTTTATATGCCCTACAATAGATGAATGGATCCCAAAAAATGTGGTACCTATACACACCTACAAAAATTATGTTAAGGGCTGGGAAGGTGACTCAGTGGTAAAGTGCTTGCCTTGCATGTATGAGGCCCTGGGTTCGATTCCTCAGCACCACATAAGCAGAAAAAGCTGGAAGTGGTGCTGTTGCTCAAGTGGTAGTGCGTTAGCCTTGAAGCTGAAGAGCTGAGGGACAGTGCCCAGGCCCAGAGTTCAGGCCCACGACCGGCAAAAAAAAGAAAAAAAAAAAGAAAAATTATGTTAAGTGAGGTAAGCCAAGCTCAAAGAGTCAAAGGAGCATGTTTTCTCTCATATACAGAAGCTAGATCTAATATATGCTGGGACATAATAAATTATATTGATCTCTAGGCATACACACACAGTGAAATCAAAGGATGTTCTTTTTTTTTTTAGTTTAAATGTTTTTAAGTTGTTATTAGAAAGGTGATGTACAGAGGAGTAACTGTTACATAAACCAGGTGGGTACTTTTCACTTTGGTCAATGTCACCCCATCTCTAACTAACTCTCTCCCAGTTTTTCCCTTCCATCTCCATCCACAAGTTGTATAGTGCATTTTCAACATAATCTAGTGAGCACCACTGCTGCATTTGTCCACCCTTTGTCTCTCCACTTCTGTGCCCTCCTTACCCTCCCAAAGACAGATACACGAACAAACAAGACAAAAAGAAAACAAAGCACTGGTGGCTCATGCCTGTAATCCTAGATACTCAGGAGGCTGAGATCTGAGTATCGCAGTTCAAAACCAGCACAGGTAGGAAAGACCATGAGATAGATAGCTCCAATTAACCATCAGAAAACTGGAAGTGGAGCTGTGGCTCAAAGTCATAGAGCACCAGCCTTGAGCAAAAGAGCTCAGGGACAGCGCTCAGGCCCTGTGTTCAAGCCCCATGACCACCACCAACAACAAGCAAAACAACAACAACAACAAAACAGCAACAAAGAAAAAATCTCATTTCCATTTCCTGGAGTTCATTTAGATACTATTTTATATGATCAGAAGTACATAGGCATTGTGCCTTTGTGTTCCTTTCTTAAGAGTATATCCTCTGGGGCTGGGAATGTGGTTTAGTGGTAGAGTGCTTGCCTAGCATGCATGAAGCCCTGGGTTCAATTCCTGAGTACCACATAAACAGAAAAACCTGGAAGTGACTGTGGCTCAAGTAGTAGAGTGCTGGCTTGAATAAAAGAAGCTCAGGGACAGTGCCCAGGGCCTGAGTTCAAGCTCCAGGACTGGTAAAATAAACAAAACATAACACAAAAAATAAAATAGAACTTAAAAAAAAGAGTATCCTCCTTTGCCTTCACTGTGAATAAATGCCTAGAATCCTGTATAATTTATCATGTGCCAGTGTATTTCAGATCTAGCTTTTGCATATAAAAGAAAACATGTGCCATTTATTTCTGACCTGGCTTACTTCACTTAACATAATTTATTCTAGGTCCATCCATTTCCCTTCAAATGATATAATATTCTTTCTAATGGCTGTGTAAAATTCCATTGTGTATAGGTAGCACTTTATTTTTGCCAGTCATGAGGTCTGAAGTATGGGCCTGGGCCTGGCCTGTCCCTCAGCTCTTCAGCTCAAGGTTAACACTCTACCACTTAAGCCAGAGCGACCCTTCCGGCTTTTTCAGCTTAGGGGGTGCTGAGAAATCCAACCCAGGGCCTCATGCATGCAAAGCAAGCGCTCTACCACTGAGCCTCCTTCCCAGCACCAGGTACATTTTTTTGGATCCATTCATCTATTGTAGGAGCATCTGGACTGTTTCCATAAGTTGGCTATTGTGAACAGTGCAGCAATGAACATGAATGTGAAAGTATCTTTATGGTATCCTGGCTTGTGATGCTCTAGGTAGATGCCCACGAGTGGTATGGCTGGGTTGTAGGGAAGATTAAGCCTGAATTCTGGGCTTAGGCATGGTTCCTGAGTGCTTTAACTCAAGGCTAGCATTCTTTCCTTTGAGCCACAAAACCACTTTCCATTTTCTGGTGATTAATTGGAGATAAGAGTCTCAAATTTTCCTGCTTGGGCTGGCTTCCAACCTAGATTCTCTGATCTCAGCCTCCTGAATAGCTAGGATTACAGGGGTGAGCCACCAGCACCCCACCTATTTTTTGTTTTGTTTTGGGTTGTTGTTTTTTTTTTGAAGAACCTCCAGACTGCTGCCCAGAGTGGTTGTACGGTTTGCATTCCTACCAACAGTGCAATAGGGTTCCTCCAAAGGGTATTTTTGGTGGAGGAACACAAAGGTGCAATGTCTATGTGCATCTGGTCAGATAAAATAATATCTATCAAATGAACTCCAGGAAATGGAAAAAAAGAGGTTGTTTTTTTCTTTGCTGCTGTTTTTGTTTTCTTTTTGTTCATGAATCTGTCTTTGGGAGGGTTAAGGGGAGTACAGAAATGAAAGGACAGAGGGTGAACAAATGCAGCAGTGGTACTCACTTGAAAATGTGTGTAAGACTTATGCGGGGGATGGGAAGGAAAAAGAGAGAAATGAATGTACTCTTTATCTGACTTATGTAACTGTCACCCCTCTGTACATCACCTTTATAATAATTTATTTAAAAAAAAGAAGAACTTGAAAAATTTTTTCCCCGGTCCTATTCCTCACAGCGCTGCCAGCAAGTGACCTATTCCAGTCCCTCTGTCTTTGCCCTCCATTCTCCTTCTCCTGCCTTCCTTCTTGTCCGGGAAAGCCACAGAAGTTCACTGCCCATTGGACAGATGGGGAAATTGAGAATCGGTGAGGGCAAGAATCTTACCAAAGCTGTTACACGCTCGCTGGGCGCCGGGATCTCCTAGGCCGGGGCACGGCCCCGCCGCGGCCCAGCCCGGGCGCCCCCGGCCGCCCCCGGCCCCGGGCTCCGCCCCCACGCGCGAGTCCCGGGGTTCCGAAGGGGTCTGAACTCTGCGGCTCGCCACGCCCGCGGCCCTGGGGCCCGCAACCACTTGGAGGGAGTCGTGGAGGATGCGCAGGAAGGGGCCGATCTTGTGCTCGGCCCCGCGTCGCGCTGATCCCTTGAGGGTGACACAATGTGACCCCCAAACCCAGGCGCAGCAAACTCACCTGCAGCAGCTGCTCCGCTCGCAAACTCACTTCCTGCTTCCGGCTCCCCCATTCATTGGGGCTTCCCAAACCCCGCCCTCATTGGCCAATTGTCTGGTTCCCGGGCCCAGACGGACAGCGGCTTCAGCCAATAGGCGGGAAGAAACAAGCACCCTGCCTCCCGGGCACTACGCGAATCGCTCGGCTTGGCCCCTGCGGCCTTGGCCTTTTGTGCGCCGGCCACGCTCGCGTGGGGGTGGGGACCCTGGGTGACCGGCTCCTCGGCGGCCTGGCCCAGGTCAACGCGGCTGACAAGATCCCAGAGCACCAAGGCCCCTGTGCAGGAGAGACTCCTAGAGTCCTCCAACCTGCTTTACTCGACCTGGTGGGCTGGGGAGGGGGGGGGGGAGGAAGGGGGTCTGGAGTGGAGGCCCCTCAGAGACTACACAGTTGTAGGTGCGAGGAATCAATGCTACTGAAGTGACCGAAGGTCAAATCAAGCTTTTTTCACCCCCGGATGTGTGACCTTTTGTGTGTGTGTGCACATGTGTGTGCCAGTACTGAGGCTTGAACTCAGGGCCTGGAAGCTGTACCTTAGCTTTTTCTGCTGAAGGCTAGTACCACCCTACCACTTGAAACAGATCTTCACTTCCAACTTTTTGCTGTTAATTAGAGATCAGTCTTTCGGATTAATCTCCCAGGCTAGCTTCAAACCCCAATCCTCAGATCTCCGTTTCCTGAGTAGGATTACAGGTGTGAGCCACTGGTGTCCGGCTAGCTGTGTGACCTTAAGTGGGTCACTTTAGCTCTATAGATCTTGGCTTCATCAGCCGGAAAACTGGATTAATAAGTGAATCCATTCCAGGAATATCCTAGGCACCAATGACTGCCAGCTGGTCAGTGCTGCGTGTGTGCGGAGGCAGTGTTTGACTGAAGTCCAGCATGCTGCCCTTGCCTTGCCTGTGTCTAGGCTCAGGGCAGTCACTGCCCACCACAGACATGTTTCTCATTCACAAAAGTTCCCAAAGCTCTTCACAATAATACTATTAGCTGTGGGTTCCTTATATACAGGAGATCAATTAAGGGGTTTATGTCCTTTCTTGTGTTTTGTCAGGTGAATTGGAAATGTACTCTTTAAGAGGAGGTAATAGCTGTCTATGGCCACCAGGGGGCGGCTGGAGTGGGCAAAGGATCCAGTATTCAGGCCTTGGGATTCAACTTTTTTTTTTCTTTTTTCTTCCTTTTGTTGTTATTTAGTTTGGTTTGGTTTTTGTACTGGTGATGGAACCTAGGACACTTTTTTTTTGTCGGTCATGAGGCCTATACTCTAGGTCTGGGCGCTGTCCCTCAGCTCTTCAGCTCAAGGCTAGAGCTCTACCACTTGAACACCACCACCACTTCCGGCTTTTTCTGCTTATGTGGTGCTAAGGAATCGAATCCAGGGCCTCGTGCATGCGAGGCAAGCACTCTATCACTGAGCCACCTAGGCAACTTTCTATATTCTAGTCCTGCCTAATTTCATTTTATGATGGTCAATAGCATTTACTTTAGTCCTATACCAGAGCTGGTCTTGGGGGGACTCCCTTAATTCATACAAAGCCTTTGATAGAGCTTAACATTTAACCCATTGCACAGATGGGAAAACTAAGAGTGCCCATTATTTCCATTAGAACACACAACATGTCTTCAGGAATCTATAAGCTGGGGCCTAGCCTTATTCAGACCTCAACCCCCCCCCCACACACAGAGTCGTCTAATTGGGATCATGGCTATCGCCTACCTGGGTTTTCCCCAGAAGTATAAGGGCCAGGCGAGGAAATAATATTAAGTACTTTTTCACAGGTGCTTTCCATACATTCACAAGCACTTGGTGAGGCAGAGGTCATTGCATTTAATTACCATAGGATCCCAGGTTCAAAGATCTGGCAAAGAGCAGAGTTGGGGCAAGGACGGGAGTGCCTGGCTTCTAACAGCCCTGAATTCTCCCAAGCACCCACAGACGTGTCTTTTGCTTGTCTCTCCTCTTAGAGCCAGAAATTTCCCACTAGAAATGGGACCAGAATGTTCTACTGCTTGGCTCCCAACACTGTCAGAAGTAAAAACAGGGGGGGCATCTATTTCTAGGGTTTGGGAGTAGAGTGGGAAATCCTTCCACCCCCACTCAGAAGTCCTCATTTACCCTCCATCCCACTGCAACTGGGTGACACTCCAGAAGCATCCCTCCTGTTCACATGTGTGGGTGCTCTCTGGCCGTCACTAGCTGCGTGGCCTTAGGCAGGCCCCTCCCAGTGGAGTCTACACTCCTCCTCATGTTCTGTCAGGAACCCAGGGCAATGCCACGTCATGCTTGCTACTCCTTGCTTTTTTTTTTTTTTTTTTTGGTCAGTCATGGGGCTTGAACTCTGGACCTGGGCAGTGTCCCTCAACTTTTCAGCTCAAGGCTAGCACTCTACCACTTGAGCCACAGAGCCACTTTGGTTTTCTGGTGGTTTATTGGAGATACGAGTCTCATGGTCTTTCTTGCCTAGGCTGGCTTTGAACTGCAATCCTCAGATCTCAGCCTCCTGAGTAGTTAGGATTACAGGCATGAGCCACCAGTGCCTGGATAGCCTTCTCTTTTCTTACCTCTAGAATGCTAGCCGCTTGTGTTCCTGGGTCAGTTTGCCTAGCAGTGATTAGAGGAGTTCCAGCAATACTCGCAGCTTGGCCCTTGGCTCCCAGAAAAAATACATAGCATGGGTGAATAGGGGTCCACTCAGACTTGACCTCCATGGATGCTGAGGCCCACAAGGCCCTAGTCCAACTTTCTCCAGGTCCACCCCACTCTCCTGTTTCCCCTGCACACTAAGCTCACTGGGTGGTCAGCTGCTGATAGCTGGATAGATCTCTCCTCAGGGAGCTGGAGAGGCAGGACTGAGCTCATTGCTAGAGCACTATGTGGGGCTGGGCACTGAGCGAGGGGACAGGCTGACTACCCTCTCCCGTTAGCCTTGCCCAGCAAAGGAAACGCAGTGTGATGGGAATGGGGCAGTGTTGGGTTTCAATTCTGACCTGGTCACTTCCTGGCTGTGTGACTTAGGGCAAATGATTTTGTCTTTCTGTGAAAACAAGCAGTGATGCCTCCCTCCCAGGGACACAAGAAGACTTAACAGCCAAACCTCCAAGAAGCAGAGCCTGGCGCCTGGTGAGTGCTCAATGAACCAAGCTGTTATTACTGTCAGCACAGAGCGGGGCACACGGCGGGCGGGCGGGTGTTCAGTAGTGGTAGGTAGCCCTTGGGTCAGAGCCAGGGCTCTGAAGCAGCGAATCTTCTCGCTCCCTGCTCCCAGCCACTTTGTGGACTCCTGGCTGTTCACAAATTAAGAGTCCAGACACCCTATCCAGCATCTTCTCACCAGTCTCTTGTGTACCCCCTGCAGCCTGTCACTCAGACCCTCCTCCTTCCTTTCCCCTCAGCCTGCGACCCACAGTAGGCAGAGCATACACTGTTTCCCGCGGGCCTGGTAGACTGAGAACCACCACAGAGGCTCAGTTCCTGTGCCACTTCCTCCCTGAAGCCTTCCATGCTTTCCCAAGGCCAACAAAGCCTATTCATTCCCCAGCTCAAGGATTCGCCCATCCGAATGCACCCAACTGTCCATCCTCCACTGAACCTCAAACTCCATTTCGCTCAGTCCCGGCCTGCCCACACCCACTCCCCAATCAGGGCTGGAAGCTCTGAACGCATTGGGGGAGGGAGGGCGGGGAATGTGTGGGTTTGGAAGGGCAGCTGAGCAGCGAGGTTTCTAAGGGAACTCAGGGCAGCAGCGAGAAGGGTGAGTATCTGTTACCAGGTTGGCAGGCTGGGGAGCCCAACCAGCACAAGTTGGGGGTCAGGGGCCATCGTCCCTTCACTCCCCTGGCAGGGGCACAGTGTAACCGGCATGATGGGGGAGACCCCAGGAAGGGTACGGCAGGGGCCTGAGCTTGCCTCCATCGCCTGGGGGCACCGCTGGTACCGCAGATTCCCTTCAGGATGACTGGGAAGATTTCCAGAACCCCCTTGGGGAGAGGGGCCCCACCCATCCAGTGTGTCCAGCTGGTGTGGCCAGGTGCCAGCAGGCAGAATTCCACATGCAGAGCTCCCTGTGAGCTGCAGGGGTTGGGGGGGCTGGAGCAGGTGGGCACAGCCGGGAGGGCCCTGGAGAGCCTAGTCCAGAGGCCCCTGGAAAATGAGGCGGATGCAGCCATGTTCGCCGGTGAGCCAGGCCCCGCAAAAGGGGCAGGCCGCGTGGAAGGCGTGCGTGCCGTGCGGCAGTGGTGTCTGGGCCCAGTAGCGGGCAGTCTTCTCAGAGCAGACATGGCCGCAGGGTGCGAAAGCATGACTGGGGGGCCCCGGGTCCAGGCACAGCCCAGCCTCCTGGCCTAGCCACAGGGGTACATAGGGACCCACAAGTCGGCAGAGCGGACATTCACGCTCCTGGGGCCCCCGCTCCCGTCGACAGCCCCAGCCGTGGTAGCCGTGGACGTGGCCGCAGCGGACGTAGACCCAGGGCTGCTGCTTGTCAGGGGCTGTGCGGCCCCGGGCTGGACTGGGGAAGGCCAGGGTGCTGAGGCCCACGGGACACTGGGGCCGCGCTGCGTTGGCCTCCTGCCGCTGGGCCTCCAGCTGTTTCAGCGTGGGCGCCCGCAGCAAGCCTGCCGGAGTGCGCCACAGCAGCGTGGCCCCACACAGGTCGATGAGGGAGCCGTCTTGCAACACGTTGGATTCGTTCTCCACCTGCCAGAGACAGCATTGAAAGCCTTAGTCCAAGATGTCCCCCGCCCAGCCATCGGGCCGCAGCCCCCTGGAGCCCCAGCAGAGGGCGCCTGGGCCAGCAGGGCAGCTGAGAGGACAGACATCCCGCTCCACCCACCCGTCTTCCCCAGCTCTCAGCAGGACTTGGGTTTGGTGTACCAGGGAAACAAATCTGGTTCTATCAATCAGGACATCCGGACATTTTCTAAAGTGCTTTCCAGAGGTCTCCAATAATGGTGAAGGCCAGAAAAATGCTGGATACTTAGCCCAGAGCAAGGATTGTGGGGATTGTGATGAACAGACCACCTAGGTTTGAACTGGGGCCTCACTAACTCTGCATCCCTGGGAGAGTCACTTAACCTCTCTGTGTGTTTAGTTTCTATTTCAAGCTGAATTCCACATTTCAGTATCTCAAACGAGTCTTGTGAGGCAGTAGGTATAAATAATTCAAAGGGCGCCTAGCACAGTAGGTGCTCAACAAGCATGTGTTTGTGACACATTCATGTACAGAGATTTGTTGTTGTTCGTTGAGATATGGTCTCATTATATAACCAGGTTGACATCCAACTCACAGTCCTCCTGCCTCGGGCTCCCAAGTGCTGGGATTATAGGTATGCCCTACTATACCCAGTTGAGGTACATAATTTTGTTTCTGGACTTTCCATGGTTCTGAGGATCAAACCCAGAACCTAGCACATTCTAAGTGCAAATCAGCTCAAGGCTAGTGCTCTACCACTTGAGCCATAGAGCCACTTCCAGCTTTTTCTGTGTATGTGGTACTGAGGAATCGAACCCAGGGCCTCATGCATGCGAGGCAAGCACTCTACCACTGAGCCACCTTCCCAGCCCATCTAAGTGTAAATTTTTTACCTCTGAGCTACATGTGTAATTTTCAAAACCAATAGAGTTAACACTGGAAAGCTCTGCTTTCCCCTGAGCTTTTGTGTCTCCCAGGCTCACATACCCACCCTCAGGGACAGCAGAGCCCAGGAAAGGAACAAGGCCACAAACCCTTCCTTTCTCTAGATCTCACTCTCAACTTGATCTGAGTACTCTAATCTGTACCACATGGTACAGATTACAGGCCACTGGCCACATGCCAGCACTGTAAGTACTAATCTAAGGGCTTTTCCTGTTGGAATAGGATAATAAAGCTGAACTCGCCTCAACGCGACAGACATGCTACAAGCTGCCAACACTGTGGACTGTGAGCTGCTTCCACATAGGCCAAGTGTCACTCTCATAATCAAGTGTGGTTTTCGAAGCTGTCAGCAGCCGTGAAGCCACTTGTGACTGCACAGCGCCTCGTGTGACTCCATCTTACATCACCTCACGGAACTCAAGAAGTGTGCAAACCAGGTGCCAGTGGCTCACGCCTGTAATCCTAGCTACTAGGAGGCTGAGATCTGAGGATCATGATTCAAAACCAGCCCGGGCAGGAATGTCGGTGAGACTCTCATCTCCAATAAACCACTAGAAAACCGGAAGTGGCACTGTGGCTCAAGCGGTAGAGTACTTGCCTTGAGCTGAAGAGCGCAGGGACAGCGCCCAAGCACAAAGTTCAAGCCCCACAACCAACCAAAAAAAAAAAAAGTGTGCAGGCCACAATCTGGGTGGGCGGGGCTGCTCTGTAGGGCAAGTACCGAGAGTTCTGTGAGCCTGCAGCTCTCCCAGCCAGAGCCCATGGGGACTACCTGGGACACAAGGACTGCACGTCACCTATCTCCAGGCAGATTATGAGGAGGACCTGGAAGGACTGGGGAAAAGATGGAGAGGGCCACCTACCAGCTTCCCCCGCTGCTGGGCCGAGCGGCTGTCCCGCAGTGTGTACACGTTCCCGCAGACTGATATCTCCCGCCAGACACCTGGGGCCGAGTCCTCGGAGAAGCCGCCCGCAGGGTGCATCACCAGGACCCCATTGGTGGTCAGGCCATCCATCAGGCCATCGGGGGTCCGCCATTTGGCTGCCCGCTCCTGGGACCACATTGAAGATCAGCTCACATTTCCCCAAGGGGTGCAGAGGTGGCTGCCCCCCCTCTACCTTTATGTCCCAGAGAGGACTCCATACACATGACGTCCCTGAGCATCCCTTGGCTTATTCATGATGTGGGAAGGCCCTGTGTGGCTGGGGACGGGCCCATCACTCCAGGCTGCTGCCTTCCCAAACCCTCCCCACTTTCCAGTAGAGAGCTCGACCCTGCCTGGGGTACACTCACTCCAAGGAAGATGTTGCTGGAGGCGTCAAAGCCGGCAGCATAGATGCGGGCCGTGTAGGGTGGCCTGCGGTCACAGAGGATGCGACAGGCATAACGGGAAATGGTGCTCTGGGCAGAAGGGCCCTCGGTGGCCCCTCCTCCCGGGGAGGTGTCTGTTACCACGAAGTCGATCATGTTCTCAGTGGAGCGGCCAATCTGCAAGCGAGGGAGGGCAGGCACAGCGATCACATGGGCAAGGCCCAGGACCCCAAACAAGGAGGCAGCACACAGTGACTCTCCAGACCTTCTGGGCTCCCAAGAAGCCACTCGAGGTGCAATTAGCCACCATCTAGAGTGGCTCTTGCTCTATTGCTCCCAAAGCTTTGGGAAGACTCTCACTCAGTTCAAAAACAAAAACTGATCAATTCCCTGATAGACCAATGGAAAACTGATATCCTAGGAATCCTAGCAGCACACTGTAAGCATTTAGTAAGGATTTACTAGATGTGTAGCTGTTTAGCAGTACAGCAAACACAAAAGTCCTGAGTTTGGATCCCAGTGCCCCCTCCCCTCACTGAAGCTGCTATAATAGGCTAAGCATTTTATGTGTCCACCCATGGGGTAGTTGCCATTATGGGTCCTATTTTATGAGAAAATAAAGGCCCACAGAGATTAAGTCTTGCACAAAGTAAATGACAGAGCTGGCATGCCAATGCTTACACTGCCCTCTGAACTCTGAAGCCACATGGCTTTCCGCGGCGTCTTGCCTCTCAGTCTTGATACCACTACTAATTTACTGTGTCAGCGACCCACGCGGGGACACGCTGCTTCCTCGTCGGAAGGGTGGGCTGCTGTGCTGAGTGAGCCAAAACACTTAGAAGCTCAGAGGCCCGGAGGCTGGGGGAGGGCTGGGCGTACCTGGAACATGTCTGTGTCGCTGTCGTGTGTGTACTCCACTATGACCGAGTGGCTCCGGGACAGTGTGTATGAGATGCTGTGCTGGCCTCGGTTACTCAAGGCCTGGTGAGGAGAAAGTAGTCACTGGCCAGGGCACCCCGGACATGAGAGCTAAGTTTCTGAGTGAAGACAAGCTGGGGGCCCAGTGGGGCTCCTCCCGGGGAGGGCTAACAGCATTTTGTGCAGGGGGATTCTCTAAGTACAGCAGGAACTCTATACAGGTTACTCTACACAGTCTTCCCCCCAGAATGGGCTTATTGGTCTCATTTGAAAGTGGGGTGCTGTGTGTTCCAGGAAGCTGATTTCTACCCCAAATTTTCTAAAGCCAACTTTTCACCCTTTGCCACTGCTGTGTGACATCACATCCTGCAAAAGGTCAAGGGTCACCATTGCTCTGGTAGCCCCATAGGCCAAGAGTAGTGACACAGTGGGCTGGGATGGGGGGCAGGGGGCATGCGCATGTGGGTCTGGCAAGACAGAAGACCCGGGCCAAGGGCACAGAGGGCAGAACGGTGCTCGGTTCTCAGTCTACTGGCACAAGCTGCTTGCCTTGGAGACGAGCGGTGTGGAAATGTGGTGCATGACGTCTGGCTTCACTCCGTTGGCATGTGGCCTGCGGCTCAGTGCCAGGCGGCTCCGCCGGCGGCCCTTGTCCCCGCTTGCCAGACACCCATTGTAGCTGTTAATGTTAAAGGGGTTAAGAAGAGCAGGGTATGGGAAGAGGAAGAGAGAGAGAATGAAAAGTGAGTGACTGGGGAGCCTTAGAGAACACTGTCAGCTCTAGCTTGCTAAGCTAGCTCAAGAATCACGGAAAGCTAGAAGCCCCTATGATAGTCAACTGGTGCATGAACAGGGGGTCTCATTAAACTATCATCCTGAGTCCCTGCATGGCTGTGCTATGTCTGGGGAAGGTGCTGGGCTGGTAGCAGTGATGTATCGAGTCCATGAAGCGAGGATCGGTTCTCAAGGAATTCAGGCACACCTGCCTTGACTCAGACACAAGCCAAGTGCACCCCAGACCCTCTGGACAAGAGAAGAGAATCATGATCCCAAGATTGGGTTTCTAGTGGCGCTGTGGCTCAATTAGTAGAGTGCTAGCCTTGAGCTGAAGGACTGAAGGACAGCACCTAGGCCTAGAGTTCAAGCCCCACAACCTACAACAACAACAACAAAAAACCAAGATTGGGTTTCTGAGAAGGGGAACCCCTCGTAGGGGTTGAAGAACTGGGAGTCCCCTGCAGCAAACCAGCACTTATGATACCACTTCTCAAAAACACATGAAGAAAAACCACAGACCCTCAAGGTCACTATGTCCATATCTCCACTCACTTCACATGCCCACCCTCCTTTCCAGCTCACATCCAGTGGGAAGGACCCTGAGAAGAAAAGATGGGGTGAGTCACAGCAGCCACCACTGCCTCTGTGTCCCTGGTCCCTTGAGGCGTCTGTGTGGCGTCCTGCCAGGCAATTGTCTTTCTTCCCATTTTATAAATGAGACACATTGAGGCTCAGGGAGGTAAAGTCACTTGCCTTGGGGTCAGTAAGTGACAAAGTCCAGATATGCATTCAGATCTGCCTGACCCCAGACCTGGCAAAAGCCCTTCAAAACGGAATAGTATTCACCCTGAGCCAAAGCTTTCAGCGCTTTGTGAGCTCAGGGCAGTGAAGCACAATAGGGGAAGATGACCACCAGGCAAAAAACATTCTGCCTGTAAGCAATGGGGAGTCATGGACGGTTTCAGAGCAGAAAGTGATGGGATAAGCAGCTGCCAAGTACAGACAAGGAGCCAAGTGTCCATGGCTCATTCTTTTAATCCTAGCTTCTCAGGAGGTTGAGATCTGAGCAGGAAAGTCTATGCAACTCTTTATCTCCAATTAACCATCAAACAACTAGAGGTGGAGGTATGGCTCTAAGTGGTAAAGCACCAACCTGAAGTGAAAAAGGTAAGGGACAGCACCTAGGCCCTGAGTTCAAGACATACACACACACACACACACACACACACGCCATTTCACTCAGATTGACTCACTCCAGTGAGTGTGTTAAAATCCAGATTCACCAGCCCCACCAGATTCTGATTCTAAAGGTTTGAGGCACCTGTCAAGATGTGTTTTCAATATACTCTCCAATAGTTCTGGTGCACAGCCTGACATGGGACCTCCCTGCCCAGGGGAGAATAGAGAGCTGTCAAGAGAGCCCATCCTCTTAAGTCAAAAGTCTCCCCCATCAGAAGTCTTTCCCTGGGCTGGAAAGCAAGCCTTTCCTTCATGATAATAAACAGCAGCTTTTCCAACGCAAACACCCCTGTGTGAGACATCTGTTGCCCTTCTCCTGCATAAGGAAGGAAAAGAGTCAGAGGGCTCATCAGGGCCCAGGTTAAGGACTCAGATGGGCCTAAACTTAAATCCTTAATCTTTACGTGGGCACTAGTAGTTCAGGCCTGTAATCCTACCTACTCAGGAGTCTGAGATCTGAGGATCTCAGTTTGAAGCCAGCCTGGGCAGAAAAGTCCATGAGACTCTAATCTCCATTGAACCAGCAAAAAGCCAGAAGTGGAGGCATGACTCAAGTGGTAGAGTGACAGCCTTGAACAGAAAAATCTAAACAAAAGCACAAGGGCCTGAATTCAAGGACCAGTACCAGCTCGCTTGCTCGCTTGTGCGCTCTCTCTCTCTTTCTTTCTTTCTCTCTCTCTCTCTCTCACACACACACACACACACAAATGCTCTTTGACTCACCCCATGACTTCCATAAAATGAGGCTCATTTTTTCAGGACTTACTTTGCAGGTTGATTTTTTTTTTTGACCTGCAGGTCTTTATTCTAGAACACGAAGGGCCATGTTGTAAATGCAGGTTGATTTTTGAGAACAAAAGTGTTTGTTTGGCAGTGTGGTATAGTTACAGCAAGTTCTTGATAAGTATTTACTTTTATTTTTTAAAAAGCATATGTCATAGCCAGGTGCTGGTGGCTCACAACTGTAATCCTGTAGTCCTAGCTACTCAAAAAGCTGAGATCTGAGAATTGAGGTGCAAAGCCAGCCTGGGAAGAAAAGTCCATGACATTCTTTTTTTTTTGGGGGGGGGTCCGGTCATGGGGCTTGAACTCTGGGCCTGGGTGCTGTCCCTCAGCTCTTCAGCTCAAGGCTAGCGCTCTACCACTGGAACCACAGCGCCACTTCCGGCTTTTTTTTCTGCTTATGTGGTGCTGAGGAATTGAACCCAGGGCCTCATGCATGCAAGGCAAGCGCTCTACCACTGAGCCACCTTCCCAGCCCCTCCATGCCATTCTTATCTCCAATAAACTACTCAGAAAAAGCCAGAAGTGGTGCTGTGGCTCAAATGGTAGATCACTAGCCTTGAGCACAAAGAGGCTCAGGAATAGTGCCTAGGTCCTGAGTTCAAGCCTCAGGACTGGCAAAAGAAGAAAAAAGCACTTGTCATGTATGGATCAACAAATGGTAGCTGTTGTTATGCTTAATCATTATTATCATGAAACTACAACTTCTCAAGCAGTTTCTTCAGGACTGATGGCCACAAGGAGACTGCTGGGAGAGGAAGCGAAGGTATTTGTGTCTGGGGAAAGAGCTGCATGGAAGGTCCATGGATCCTGATCAGGCAAAGACTAAGAAGAAATGAGGTCTTTGCAGTCATCAAGTCATATTCTTCTTCCCTAGACTCAGTTTTGTCATTTGTACTGTGAAGGAGAGCTATGGTTGTGTGACAGCATACCAGATCTAGAGTAAGAAAACTTGGGTCCAAATCCCAGCCCTGCCACTTACCAGCTGTGTGCCCTTGGACCAGGCACTTCCCCTCTCTGAGCCTCGGTTTCCTCACCTCCTTCCTCACAGCATCTTTGTGAAGATTGAAATGAAATAATATCCATGAAAGGGCTTGGCACAGGCTTGCCTCCCAGAACACTTGGCACGTGCTGGGTGCTGTGCTGTTCTTTACATAATAAAAATTCCGTCCTTCCTTCCTTCCTTTCTTCCCTCCTTCCTTCTTTCCTTCCTTTCTTCCTTCCTTTCCTTCCTTTGTCCTTACAACCCTTCGAGGTAGGGATTTTTGTTATCACTGCTTACAAAATGGGGAAACTGAGGCATGGGGAAATTCAGCAACTTGCAGAGGCAGGAATGGAACTAAGCAGTTTTAGGTAGAACCTCAATTTTTCACCCCATACTACACATGCCCTCAGTGCTTTGCAGACTGCAGCTGGTGGTACTATGTTCTTTTGAGACCAGAAACTTGGGTAGACAGAGTTGTCTCAGGGATTTATGAAAAAATAACTACACATGGTGGAGGGTTTGGTCAGTTTTGTCTTTCATCTGAGAATCAAATAGCAAAAGACCCTCCAGGAAACTAGGGCCCTTCCTTATTCTGGCTGCCCCAAGGAGGTGCCTAGAACCGACCCACCCCTCCCGGAGCAGGTTAGGCTCACCCTAGGACGATGAGTTCGCCATATTTGATGGGCTCCTCGCCTGGCTGTGCATCTTCACCAGGAGAAGAGAGAAGGCAAGAGCCACTGTTCTCAGGGTGCTGGAGGTCTGAGGTTCGGGAAGACCCCACTTCAGGATTTCCTTCAAGCACCATTCTGGGCAGAGCAGGAGAGGGGAAAAAGAGCTTACGGCTTCCCACCCCAGTGCCCCTCAATCCCCAGACTTGGCTCCTAAATGACCACTTGGGTTAAGGTGATGGTGACCTTTCACCATTCACCTCTACCTGTCCTGGGCTTCCTGGGACACCACAAAGGGGAGACGGGTGGGATGGAATAAAAAGAAGGGGTGGCAGTCAGAGGGGCAAACTATTGGGTGGGATCAGAGAGATGGAACAATTTGGGGAGGTCAGAGAGTGTTTTGTACCCAAGATCCCGGCCTTGAATGTACTTTGAAGACTGGCAACGGAGGAGGTGAGGGCCCTTACCTCTCATTCAGAGTTCCTGGCTCGAGATCTAAGCCCCAGGACCCCTAAGCCCCAGGACCCGAGTTACCCTCTGTCAGGTTCTTGGGATCTGTAAACCATCCTCATTCTTTCTGTCTCTCTGCAGGTCTAGCCCTCCGTCTGTCTCGTCTATTTCTCAATGACTCTCTGTCCTCCCAGCTCCGTCCTTCTCTCTTCCCACTCTCCACCCCCTCTCCGCCTGCCTGCCTGCCTTCCTCTCACCATCCATCTGACTCAGTCTCCCCATCTCGGCCGCGCACTGCGGGCAGGCCTCCGGATCCCTCCTGGGTGCGCGCCCGCCCCCCCGCCTCGCCCCCCCTCCCC